TACACTCGTGGAGATCTCTGGAAGCGCATTGAACAACAAGCACACAACCTAAGTGTTGCAGGTTTTACAGCAATGTGGATGCCTCCAGCACAAAAATGCTCCGAGGGCAGAGATGACACCGGATATGCAGTTTATGATATGTATGATCTAGGCGAATTTAACCAAAAGGGCACGGTGCGAACCAAGTATGGTAAGTAGGTTTTCATATTAAGTAGTATTGGTATGAGAACGGGTTGCACTATGGAGTAGAGACGCTGTGAATTTTGTCACTCCCTACTCTGACATCATAGTTAGTGAGTTGCACAAACAATTTCATCTTTGCTGATGTGTTTTAGAAACGAGTCCGTCTATGTGGGATATGCGCAATATTGCACGGTAGAGTACTGTGAAGCCCCGCCCTTATATGCAACATTCTAAATATCTGATCAAAAGTAGTACTGGAAATCGGCTACTGGTCCCGAAAATCACAACCTCGTGATGTGTTTGCTGATGTGCACCTTTCTTAAATACATGGCATAGGTACCAAACGAGAATATGTGGATGCCGTGGCTGCTCTGCGTAAATCTGGTATCCACGCTTACGCCGATATCGTTTTCAATCACCGATTGGGTGGAGATTGTAAGTACGCCTATGGTTATTCTCGCGTTATAATTGCTTTCCGTGTCACTCGTTTTAGACATCCCACATGTACACTATTTACCATATATTTGCCTTGCATAAGAAATCTAGAATGGATATTTGATTTACTGAAACTAATCCTCAGATTCAAATGCAACCCCTTGTTCATCACGTCGCACATTGTAGGTGAAGAAATCACTATGGCAACACCATACACAAATCATGACCGTCTGACTCCTGATGGTGATGCAAAGGAGATTAAAGCGTGGACACACTTTAACTTTTCTGGTAGAAAGAACACGTACTCAGCTTTTAAATGGCACTGGTGGCATTTCAATGCCGTGGACTGCGATTCGAATGACTATACTGACGATCGCATTTTTCTGTTCGAGGGGAAGTTGTTTGACGATGATGTGGATGAGGAGTATGGCAACTATGACTATCTGATGTAGGTCTTACAACACTGTCCGACAAATCAAATAGCTAGTTCTAAAAGTGATCCCCGCTGTTTGTCAAGAATCGGATGATTTCCAAAGATTGATATACCGACATATATCCACATTACTCACCATCTATTTGCTAATATTTTCAGGGGGTGTGATATCGATTTTGATCACAGTGAAGTACGACAGGAACTCGACGACTGGGGCAAATGGTTTCTAAACACTACGAGTATTGACGGCTTCCGCTTGGACGCTGTCAAGCACATACCAGCCAAATATTTTCCCAGGTGGCTTGAGGCTATGAGTCAATATAAAGGTGAACATATGTTTGCGGTAGGAGAGTACTGGGATGCAGATATCACGAAATTACACCGATATATAGACCAGACACAAGGACGTATCTCCCTATTCGATGTTCCTTTACATTTTAACTTATCCGAAGCCAGTATTTCGGGGTCCAAATTTGATATGCGGACTATTTTCGATGGGACTCTAGTGCAGTTGTTTCCGGCGTTAGCCTGCACATTCGTAGACAACCACGATACACAACCCCTACAGGAGCTAGACTCCGTTGTATTACCATGGTTCAAACCACTGGCGTATGCCCTGATCTTGTTGCGACAAGACGGCTATCCGTGCGTTTTCGAGGCAGACTATAACGGGGCCGAATATGAGGACAAGGGCGAGCACGTGCATCTGCCATCCCACCGATACCTGATAGAAAAGTTCATGTACGCGCGTAAGCACTTCAGCTACGGCGCACAGTACGACTACATTGATCATGAGGATGTGATAGGCTGGACATCTGTGGGCAGTGAGTCGCATCCGGGTGCCATGGCTGTGCTGGTGAGCAATGGGCCGGGTGGTTGGAAGTATATGGAGGTTGGAACGCCGAACACCAAATTCGTCGATATAACAGGTATGAACTAAGCACACGCCACCTTCTATGCGAAACTGGTGTATGTGTAAGCGTGTGTACTTAAGTGGTAAATAGCAATGTGTTGTCTAGACTGGCGCACCCTAACTACATTCACAAGAAACACTGGGCATATTCTTTATCATAGGTGACTTCAATCGAGCACACCAATTGCATTGCTTATGTATACACGTGTATCCGAATCGGCTACTTTCATCTCATATTATTAACCACACAACCTCTACTGTCTATCAGGTCACATCACCGACACAGTCACCACAGACGCCTACGGGTGGGGTCGCTGGCGATGCGAAGGGGGGTCTGTATCCGTATGGCTGGAATTAGACAGGACTCTGGCAGAACACCGTCCGGTACACTTACGACCGCACAGTGGTACAAAAGACACAGGAACACTTGCTACTATCATGAACGTATTTAGTAGAAGCATCAGCGAATTTAAGAAGTATGTGCTTAAGCATGGGGCGAGTGCGATCAAACGCTGTGCCAATATGATCGAGAGGAGGATGTTGTTGATGCTGCATCCTAATCCTCAAACACAATCGACGTAGTCCATACGAGTACGTTATGTATAAACGTACCAACCAGCACGTTTCTTAATTCATAAGCATCGACACACAAGATGCAAACCGGAAGCCAATAAAGTAATAAGCACGCATCGCGCCCCAATCCGGTGTTTGTCTCGCAAAACCTGTGTTCATATGCTATTCCTGAAAGCACACGCTTGACTGAACGAGGTCGAGAGAAGGGTGCGGCAACGGGGGGGTTTTTGTTGTTGTTGGAAATCACTATATATAACCGACGTTCAGAGGTTTATGCATAACAGTGACCACCCAACACCTCGGCAACGCGGTGTTTAAACTATAAAGAAGAAGTAGACGCCTCTGAACACTCGTTTCATGATTTCTAGCACTATGCACGTACCATCAAACAATACGCATGGCTATGTGAAATGCGAAGATGTCGCCCTTACTTTAAAAACCCGGGTGTTTTTTTTTGAATATTCATTGTGTTTGTGCTGACTGTTATCTGAATTAAGCTACGGGAAATAATTCAGTAAAGCAAGGAAGCGACACACTTACGAAACAGTGCCGTTTCCTACACCTTTCAGTATTGCGATACCTTGTCGCGCGACTAGTTTATTTCAATGACCCGTTCTGTACTGTCCCCTATATTCCATGGGTGCAAATCAGAAATATGCGAATGGCAGTCTAAAAATAGTTGTCAGGTCTGACTCGAGTATCGCGCAAGGTGATCTGGATGGCAAAGAGAGAAGTAGTCGGTGAGACTGTTGCTTCGGAGTCGTGATATCTCAAAGCATGTAATGGTGCTTCACGGCATGTTTAGTGGTGGCAAACGAGATAGCCGAAGGTGATCAAAGTAGGCACAGGAAATGAAAGAACTTTCAAATGTGGGGACTAGAGAAGGTTCAGAGCAGTTACAAAAAGAAGGTGTGACTCATGAAATGAAACGCGTATATCCACTCAGTTTCGAAAAACGCATATATATATATATATATATATATATATATATATATATATATAATATATATATATATATATATATA